ACTGAGGAACATCGAGAAAGTGGAGGATACAGATTCAAAACACTTGTTTTAAAGCTTCTTATCAACAAGAAGCATATGAAGCAGGCATTCAAGGAATTTAAGGACTATGTCACACAGAAAATGAATCAAATGGAAGTTGATATATCAGAAATTAATAATACAGTCAAGCAAAAATTAAAGTATAATGGAGAGTCTCCAAAGTAGAATGAAGGAGGCAGAAGAAAGAATCTCAGTATTGGAAGATATTTCCTTTCACCAGCGGAAAACAGACAAAAAGCTGGAAGCAGAGCTGGGTCAAGCTCAAAAAAGTATTTAAGAATTAAGAGAAACTATTAAAAGGCCAAATGTAAGAGTTATGGGAGTGCTAGAAGGTGCAGAAAGAGAAGCTGGGTTCAAAAATGTATTTAATGAAATAATAAGGGAAAATTTCCCTAATCTAGAGAAAGAATTGGCAAACAACATCCAGAAACCCAACAGGATTGACCAAAAGTATCTCCACCACGACACATGATAATCAAGCTCTCTCCAGTCAAACATAAGAAAAAGATCCTGAAATGTGCATGTGAAACAAAAATCAACTGACATATGAAGGAATGCCAGTTAAATTCACAGGAAATCTCTCACAAAAACTCCATAGGCCAGAAGAAAACGGGACAACATATTCCAGAATCTCAAAGCAAAACACTGTCGGCCCAGGATTACATACCCAGTAAAGCTTTCCTTTGTCTTTGAAAATAAAATAAAATTCTTCCACAGTAAAGCAAAAAAAAATTTATAGAATATGCCTCTTTCAGACCCGACCAACACATGATACTTCAAGATGTTCTCTTGACAGAGAAGAGGAATAGCGCCTACCAAAACCAAAGGCAAATGTGAAGAACATCCCAGTGAAATAACAACACAAGACTAAATCAACGAACAACCCATTGCTAAAATGACAGGATCAAATTACCACCCGTATATATTAATCCTGAATGTTAATGGATTAACTCTTCAGTCAAATGTCATACTTACCCAAAATGCATTAAAAATGCAAAACCCATCTATTTGTTGCCTACAGGAGAAATATCTCACCAACAAAGATCAGCAGAAACCATATCTCATGGATTTTATATATATATCTTTAATTTATCCATTCAAACCACCTTCTTCCCATTAAATTCTTAACTGACTCGTAGATCATACAGGAGCATCATTTTCTTCAAGAAGGTTCTTGATTTTATTTTACATGTTATTTAATTTCATGGCATTTTAAATTTCTTTGTTTCCTGTTGTTCATTTTGTTTTATGGCTTTTCAATTAAGGGAATGTACAGTAACTTTGTAATGGAGACTTTCATATTCATATCTGGTATCATGTTATTGAACTTCATGGCATTGTAAATCTCTATTTTTCTTTTTTTTGCTGTTGATTTTGTATTGTGGCTTTTCACTTAAGGAGATGTACAGTAACTGTGAAATGGAGTCTGTCATATCCAGATGTGAGGATACAATGCAGTATGTATCTCTACTTCCAGACCAAAGATGAACTCCCAATGAAACTGTTAATTACATCTTGACAATACAATGCTAGCCCCTCTGCCATTACCATGCCCACAATGATGGACATATGACTCCTTATGAAGAACTTATAGTAATGATATAGGTAAACTTGGGAGAGGAGGAGGGGACTTGACAAGGGTAGGAGGGAAATCCCAGAGCCTATGGAACTGTATCATAAAATGATAACAGTAATTTTATTTTATTATTTTTTTTTAAAGATTTACTTTTATCATTTTTTTGTTGGAAAGGCGGATATACAGAGAGGAGAGACAAAGAGGAAGATCTTCCGTCCGATGATTCACTCCCCAAGTGAGCGCAATGGTCGATGCCATGCCAATCCGAAGCCAGGAGCCTCCTCTGGGCCTCAGAGTCCCAAAGTTTGGGCCATCCTCGACTGCTTTCCCGGGCCACAGGCAGGGAGCTGGAAGGGAAGCGGAGCTCCCGGGATAGAACCAGCGCATATATGGGATCCTGGGCTTGCAAGGCGAGGACCTTGACCACTGCACCACTACACCGGGCACGATAACAGTAATTTTAAAAGAAGGAAAAAAAAGTCAGCGGTGTTTCTATAAATGTTGCTTTTCCATTTGTAACCATGGCCACTCTGGAAAAAAATCCCATTTACATTGGAACTGATAAAGAACAAAATACAGAGAAATAAATTTAGAGTAAAACATGTGTACACTAAAAATCCTAAAACTTTGATTAAAAAAAATTAAAGATGACAAGATAGACCCGCTCTTGATGGCCTAGTGGATGAAGTCCTTGACTTACGCCTGCTGGGATCCAATATTGGCACCAGTGTGTATCCCAGCAGCCCTACTTCCCATCCAGCTCCCTGCTTGTGGCTTGGGAAAGCAGTCAAGGATGGCCCAGAGCTTTGGCATTCTGCTTCCACATGGGAGACCCAGAGGAAGTTCCTGGCTCCTGGCTTCAGGTCAGCTCCACTATGGCCATTGCAGCCACTTGGGGAGTGAACCAGCAGATAAAGATCTTCCTCTTTATATCTCCTCCTCACTGTATATCTGCAGTTCCGATAAAAATAAATACATCTCGAAAAAAAAGATGACAACATAAATGGAAAGATTTTTCATGTTCATGAATTCAAAAAATTTATATTGTGGACTGTGTGTAGTACTGAAGTTCTCTATAGAGTTAATATAATTTTTTTTCACAATTCCAATGACTTTTTTTTACAGATATAGCAAAACAAAACTAAGTCTACAATTTTTATGAAACACAACAGACTGACTAGCTGAGGCAAACTTGATGACAAAGAACAAAGCTGAAGGCGTCACAGTATCTGACAGCAAAGAAATACTGGGACAGTGCAGTGGAGTAATATATTAATCCTCCACCTGTGAAACCTGCATCCTATATGGGCACCAGTTTGTGTCCCAGCTGCTCCAGTTCTATCCAGCTTCCTGCTAATGGCCTGGGAAAGCACCAATGGATGTTCAAGATCTTGGCTCTCTGAACTGACATGGAGACCTGAAAGAAGCTACCAGCTCCTGGCTTTGGAAGGCCCAGCTATGGTCAGGGTGGCCATCAGGGGAATGAACCAGAAGATGGAAGATACCTGTGTGTGTGTGTGTGTGTGTGTGTGTGTGTGTGTAATGTGTGTGTTTTACTGCTCTCTGTAGTTCTTTCATCAACAATAAATAAATCTTTAAAATACACATGTACACTATAAAACTACAGTAAGCCAAACAGTACGCTACTGTCATAAACACAGACACCTAAATAGATGAAGCACAACAGCGCGTCTAGAAATAAACTCTTGCATGGTCAACTGTTATTCAGAAAAAGTGCCAAGAACACACAATGCGGAAAGGACCATTTGTCAATAAGCAGTACTGGGACAACTGGATAACACGAGACCAGAGAGTGACATTAGACCTTCATCAAAATCACCTGAAAAAATCCATCAAGAATGAATTAAAGGCTTCAATCTAAGACCTAAAACTGTAGAAGAAAACATGGGGAAGAGCTACATATCATGGGTCTTGGCAATGATTTTCAATGTGACACATAAAGTATGATCAATACAAGCAAAAATCAACAACAAAGATTATCTAAAGCCAAAAGCTCTGTAGAGTCAAGAAAATAACCCACAGGTAAGAGACAACCTACACTATGGCAGAAGACATGTGCAAATCTATCTGCTAAATGACTGAGACCCAAATGATGGAACTAACTTAAGCAACTCAATAATAAATTAATAATGGGTATTTTATTATCAAAAAAGTCCTGCACAAAAGGACCTATACAAGTGACCAACGTGATATGGGAAATGCACAGCACCACTAACCACCCGGGAAACATAACGTAAAATCATGAGAAGATGTCACTTCACGCTGGCTGCATTGGTGTTTAGCAGAAAGACATGAGAGGACAGATGCCGGTGGTGATGTCTAAAAACGGGAACCCCGGTGCTACTGCTGGCTGGGTTATAAATAGTACAGCCATCATGGAAAACAAAATGGGGATTCCTTGAAAATCACACATCAACTACGTAAGACAGAGCAGTCACACTCCTGGATATTTATCCCAAGTATATGCAGTCAATATGTCACGGAGGTGCCTGCACTCCCCCGTTCAGAGCAGTATTAGACACAGAAGTCGAGGCGTGAAGTCAGCCCAAGTGCCCGGCGACAGAGGAATGCGCAAAGATGACATCTACACAAAGGAATACGACTCAGCCTCAAAAGGAAGAAGCTCCTATCACCTGAATCAACCCACATGACCCGGAGGACACAACACTGAGGGAAACAAGCCAGGTACAAGAGGACCATCACAGAGCTCATCTGTGCTTCACAACAGCATCTCGTTTTCTTAAAAATTACTGAAAACGGATTTTAAGTGTTCTTACCACAAAAAGTATAGAGTATATGCTCGGTACATCAAATCATCCGTTTTATTCTGTGTCAGTGGGCTGTGAGCTGCAGGGTTCTCCTTGTCTCCCTTTGCTCTCCACTCCCGACGTGCCTGGGGATCCCTCAGGGAGCCCTGCCACACCCTGCAGCCTTGAACCCTTTCTCCTCCTCCATTCATCCCTCCCTGTTCCTGGCACCTGCACACACAGATAGTTATCAAGGATATGGATCACACGTGTTACCAGTTTAACATATTCAGATGCTGTGTGTTAGAGGACAAAGACCAGATAGTGGAAACTTTTCATCTGGGCTCCTCTTTAACGCTGGCCACGGGCCATGCTTCTGAGCCCTTCAGGGCTCCACCCCTAGCTCTCCTGTCTGGAAGGTTCTCTAGCACTACTGTTTCCAGGTGTTTCAGCTGTGCAAGTCTGGCTTCCTCCACTTTGACCTCGGCTGCCTTCTCAATGTCCTCCCTTGTGTCCCTGACCTTCTCCATGTCCTCCCACGTTCCATCCCTGGCTTATCCTCTCTGTCCAGAACCCAGCTGGCTCCGTTCCCTCTACAAGTGAGAAATGCTTGTTACCTTGTTCCAGTGGCAGCTGAATCCTGGAATTCTCCTCTATGTGGCCTCTGACATTGTTCTGGAATTGAAGCTTGCGGTTGACTTCTGAAGACAGAGATGAGAAGGCGGTTAGAGATCTTCGCAGGAACCATGGAAGTCACAAAACCACCTGCTTAGGATTCTCCAGTTTCCGGATCAGTGCATCCCACAGAACTGAACGTTCCCCATCAGTCCATGGGAGATGGCATGTCAGCAAGGGAGGTTTTATGTTTTCCAGACAGAAAAAGACAAGCAAGGCTGGAGAAAACAGAAGTGGAAGCACTGTGGGCTGTGTTACCTAAAGAGTGCTGAGAGACTAGGTATGTGTTTGCAAGGAACGAATCTCAACTGACCTTGAACTGTGGTTATGCAACAAGGTGGAGGAATCCACCATGGGGGGAGGGGTTTGGCAGGGGAGGGGGGAATCCCCAGTGCCTATAAAACTGTATCACATAATACAATGTAAACAACAATAAAAAAAAAAGAGTGCTGAGAGAGAGAAAGCAGATAGCAACATATTCAATAAAAGAGAATCATGTGGGGTTTTTTTCTGGTACCTCTTTTTAAAAAAGATTCTTTTATTGTTTAGAAAGCAGAATAAGGGGTAAGGAGATCTCCCTTCAGTGTGGTGACTCTTACAATTGGCCTTGCCCCCATTGGGTGTCCCTGAAACTGGCTGGGGAGGTTTTTACAAGAGACCGACCCCATGAGCACAGAGTACCAAGCCAAGCTGGGTCCCGCACCCACAGTTAGTTAGACTGTCTATCGCTCAAATCAGGCTGCAGTCAATGGGTGGGCTGCAGTGTAGACCAACACAAGGGCTCCAGTGGAACAGAAGCCACTGGTTCTGCTCATTGGGATTTTCTGTGACTTGTCCTGTGTCCTCCTAAGTAACCGTGGTGCCCGTGTCATGCTGGTCATCTTGTTATTCTAAACGCCTGGCTCAGCAGATCTCTGAGTGGCGGCTGTACCCCTGCTATCATGCCAGAAGCTCCAAGAAGGTTCATGCCGCGTCTGTCTTGACAAGTACTTTATCTCCACTGTCCAGCACAGTCTGTGGTTTGTGTTAGAAACTCAGTACATGCTTGCTGAAAATATTTTACCCTAAACTCCTAAAGGTAGACAATTAACATAATTACCAATTTCAAAGCTTTTACGAACAGGAACTAATTTGGGGTATTCCTGCAGGTTGACCTCGTTGAACACTGCCTCGAAAACAGTCTCGTCAAACTTCTCCAGTTTCTCAAGAACATCATACACCACATGTTCAACACGCATCATGTTTCTCCAAGAATTTTCTGCATCCTTAAAAAATATAAAATAGAAAAACACAGAATATTAAGCTACAACAAGCTCCAGAAGTCAGTTTCATTCTTTTTTTTTAAGATTTACTTATTATTATTAAAGCAATTTTTGGTGCAGAGATAGAGACACACAGAGAGAGAACGATCTTCCACTTGCTGGTTCACTTCCCAAGTGGCCACCATGACCAGAGTTAAACCAATCCAAATCCAAAAGTCAGGAGCTTCTTCCAGGTCTCCCACACGTGTACCGGGTTCCAAGGCTTTGGGCCGTCCTCCACTGCTTCCCCAGGCCACAAGCAGGGAGCTGGATGGGAGGTGGAGCAGCCAGGACACAAACTGGTGCCCAGTATGGGATCCCGGCCCATGCAAGGTGAGGATTTAGCCACTGCACTATCATGCTGGGCCCTACTCAAACTCTTAAGACTACACAAGTGCCACACACACACACACACACACACACACACAAATGAAAGAAAAACCAAGCAAGCCTCTACTTCTAAATTCATCCCAATGAGTTTTAAGGCTTTTGGACTTAGATATTTTGAATCAACATTAATTGAAATAAAGTGCTGTGCCAGTAACTGTTTCAGTAAACCAGTAAAACCATTAATTCACTAAAACTATTTACAACATTTAGTTTATGTTACAATGAATGATTGTTTGAACTACATGGTATGACATATACAAGACAGCACCCATCTAAGAGTGCAATTGTGTCAACTCTGGCTTATCACCAGTGCATCCGCCCACCTCCAGAGGGCGTCACATAACACCATCGCATCAGGGAGAAGCAGGGCATGAGTGATACAGAAGCACTTACAGAAACACCTGTCTGTCACTGGTTGTAACTTGAAATTGAATCTGGAATATCAGAGCATAAATTAAGTGGCTGCTAGTACACCAGGTTGTGACACAGTGGACTTCACTTACCTGAAACATTCTATCCGTGATGAGTCCACGGTCACGGAGGCCATGCAGGAAAGGAAATGTGTGCGTTATTGCATGTGAGATCTCCACTCTGCAGCTCTTGAAATGATTTAACACTGCCTCATAGATGAGCTTTTCTTCTTCGTCTTCTGTGGACATCTCTGTGGGAAAGCACACCCCATGAAAATGGTCATTAGGATTACAGGGCCGTGGGAGGTCCTAAGGTCACACTCGGGAAGGAAAGGCCACCACGCACCAGCACATTCAAAGCAAGCATCCTAGGTAGATGCCAGAATGAACGGAGCTAAAGCAATAGAGATGAAATGGGAGGAAGCGCACAGGTCACAGAAGAAGTAACTGCGAACTGCCCAGCCCATCCTGCATCACAGCGATTATAGGTACTTCCCACCTAAGCATATGTAGAATGTATTTCAATTGAAAAACCTTAACTCCTATAAAATTAAGGTGGAATAAGAAGGGCATTCAGACAGGAGTATAAAATAATGAAAGAAAAACAGGATCTGTCCTTGAAAATTTATCTTAATGAGCAATTAAGAGAAAACAGATCACAAAAAGACAAAAGCAAAACGCCCTATTTCTGATCACAGTCATCAAACCACACAATTAAGTGAGAAATGCCATTCTACCTCAAAAACTTAGTTATGAGTGACATCACATGGTGTAATAATAACAATTGTAAGCTGAGAGTGTAACAAGAATGGCAACCATATTACCCGAGACAACTGGTTTTGTTTTGTGTTAACACAAATTGGTGCTCTTCTATTTTAGTTGATAATAACTGAATTTCAATTACATACAACTCTAGATATTTTTCAAGCCTTGTGATAACTACAAAAAAATCAGTATATGCACAAAATTCGAAAAAAGTATTATCTTTACCAAAAAACATTAAATTATAAATGAACTTAACAAGAAAAAATACAGAAACAAAGAAACTATGCAAGAGCCAGAAAGTAACTAACAAAATGGCAACAGTAAATTTTTACTTATCAATAATTACTTTGAATGCAAATAGATCAAATTCTCCAATCAAAAGGCAGAAAAAAGTATAGTAAGTCCAACATGATCTAATTGCTTGCTCCCTACAAGACACTCATGCTGACTTCACAGACACACAACTGAAAATGAAAGAAAGAAAAATCACAGTCTATGTAAATGGTTCCCAAAGAGAGCCTGGGCGTGTGTGTTGAAAGAAAATAGATCACCAAGACCACAAAACAAGTCTCAACAAATAGAAAGACCGAAATTATACCAAGTATCTTTTCTAACCATAATGATATGAACTAGAAATCAGTAATGAGAGGAAAACTGAAAAAATTCACAAACACATGAAAGTTAACATATTACTGAACAAACAGCAAGTGAAAGAAAAAAACAAGAATGGAAGACTTTTAACATTTTTGACACCAATGGATATAGAAATATAACATACCAAAACTTTGGTAAAAAAAAAAGCAATCCTAAGAGAAGAGATTTTAGCTATAGACACTGGGATTGAACAAAAAGAGAGAAACTCAGTGAACAATCCAACTTACAACTCAAGGAACCAGAAAAAGAAAAACCAACCCTGAAGTCAGCAGGAGGAAGGGAATAAAACGACAGAAAAATAAATGAGACGATAGGAAAAAAGCTCAACGAAAGTCAGAGTTGATTCTTGGAAAATAGAAGCATAACTGACAAGCCTTTAGTTGGACTAATCAGGAGACAGACAACCCAATAATAAAGTGAAAAGAAAACATCACAATTTGTTGCAACACATTTAGAAATACTGTGAGTGCTTAATTGATACAGCACACTCTTTTAAGTGTGCCTTCCATGGTGCTACACTGTCTCTTCTCTTGGCCCTTCCATGAAATGAGAACCATTACCGTCACCAGTGTTCTACAGGTGTGAAGCCAGCTTACCCCAGTTGATTCATACAGTGACAGAACTGGAATTCAGGCCACCTTCTCTCCAGCTTCCTGACTCCCAACACTCCCACCTCCAACCACCCTCTTTGATCATCACACTATGTGGCTTTTCAAACAGCAGAGCCTAAGCAATGTGCTTGCATTAGGCCAGGAAGCAAAAAGCAGATTCTGAAAAACGGGACCCTATCTCAATTTTTTTTTGAAAGGCAGAGAGAGAGAAACAGAGACAGAGACAGGAGAGTTTTCCCATACACTGATTCACCCTCCAAATATCTGCAACAACCAAGTGGTGGGCCAGGTTAAGGCCAAGTGCCAGGAATTCCATCTGGGTCTCTCCCAAGAGGCTGGTGGGGATCCAGCTACTTGAGTCATCAGCATTATCTCCCTGCGTGTTCATTAGCAAGAAGCTGGACCTGGGAGTGGATCACGGACTTAAAATCCAGGCATTCTGATACAGGATGTAGGCAGAACCTCCCACGTGGGAGACCATGAAGAAGTTTCTGGTACTTGGCTTTGGTCTCAGACCAGGGCAGCATTTCTTGTTGTGGCAGGTTGAATGAGACAATCAGTTGATGGAAAAATCTTTCTCTTTTTCTGTAATTGACTTTCAAGTTCAAATAAATAAATCTCAAAAAGAAAAAAAAAAACAGAAAGAAAAGAAAGAGTGGAGACCTGATCTAACTGGTGGCTGAAAGGTGGGACAGTGGAGCCCTAGCTCACTCTGGACAAGCCTCGAAGGTGTTCTCGAGCAATGGCTGAGTTAGGTCCCATCTAGCTGTTCCCCTGCTTCCTAGAACACCATGGGATCATTCCCCCCCACCCACCCTGAGAAGCCTCCAGGACACATCAGACTAGGGGCTTCCTGGCCCAGAACTGTAACATCCAAACTGCAAGCTGAAACAGACCTAGAAGTTTCCCTTGAGGCTTTGCAGTACCAGCATGAAAAGCAGACACACACAACTCCCAATCTCTTCTTGATGCTGGTATATTCATTCCATCAAAAACAGACAACTACAAATTAAGAAATCAAAATCAGGGCTCAAAGTTGCTCATAGACACATATGATAAAGACCTTACAGTAAACTATTGGTAAATACCACCCAGTAGCAGATGGAAAATCAGTGTGTCAGGACCAAGAAGATATTATGTCAGAAATTCTAAGACAGGTTACATTAGAAAACCTATCTACACTTTTATTTAATGGAACAAATGGAAGAAATTTAAAAATCACTACAAGGAAAGAGCAATCTGAAAAAATTTCATAGGTGGTAGATATGCAAAACACAAGAAAGCTCAAGAAGACTCCAGAAGGAAGACCTATTCTTGGACCTAAAATCCAAAAACAGGAACTTTAAAAGGTTCAAAGATGGACAACAATAATCAAAGAAACATTAGAATCAAACTTAAGAGATTTGGAATCAATTTCCATCTCAAATAGTCCTGAAGGACTTAGAAAAGTGACTAAACACTACACCCACACTAAACCAAACAATCCAGACATGTCAGAACCAACAGATGAAAGAAAAGAACTTGGTAATTTCAAAGAATGAAAAGCAAGTGATACAAAAGAAAGGATCAAGAACCTGAATGGCTGCAGGCTTCTCATTAGCAATACTGAAAATGGAAAAAGAGAAGTAGACTAATTTTCATAGTAAACCTCTATGCTTGCCACATTTTTGGTAGTTGTGAGAGTAGACTTTCAGATATGAAGGATATTTCTAAAATATATGCAGATCTGTGCATTCTTCATGAGTGAAGGACAGCAAGAAAGAAGAGCACACAATATGCCCACAACAATTCCAACACAGGAGAGGTCCAGCTTCAGAAGTGAGCCACATCAGCCTAAGACAGCCAGAACTGCTTAGATGGGGAGGTTAGGGTGCCCCGGGAAGGCTTCCCAGCTAGACAGGCTGCAGAACATTATCAATTGGTTCTGAAATTTTTCTCAGGGAATAAAACTCCAGAAGAGCCAACTGTGCTTTGAAAAGATCTATGAAAAGGGATTGTACTTCCCATTAAAATAATGGTCAATAAGTCATTTCAATATTAAAATACAAATAAGAGTAGTGTATCAAATAAGAATACTTATCAACAGAAATCATCTACACAGACTCACATTTGAGAGTACCTCAAAAAGTTTGTAAAAAACATGGAATGAAATGGTTAGTTTACTTTTAGTGCAAAAATTATTGGAAACACATGCTTTTTTCATATAAGCATTTTCCCTGAGCTTTTTATAACAGAAGATCTATTTCTTTGAAAGTCACAGTGACAGTTTTTTTTTTAATCAGCTAGTTCACTAATGAGATGGCCACTATGGTCAGGGCTGAGCCAGGCAGAAGTCAGGAGCTTCACCTGGGTCTCCCATGCAAGAGGCAGGGATCCAAACACTTGGCTCATCTTCCATTGCTTTTCCCAGGCAATCAGCAGAGACCTGGATCAGAAGTGGGGCCGCTGGGACTTGAACCAATACCCTTATGGGATGGCGGTGGCTTGACCCACGGTGCGAGGAGCACACCCCCTTGTAAAATATTCCTTCCAAGATTCTTTAATATGTAAAATTGATGTTATTTCAAAGCAATAAAGGATATACTATTCTGGCAATTTTTTTAAAAGATTTATTTTATTTTTATTGGAAAGGCAGATATACAGAGAGGAGAGACAGAGGGGAAGATCTTCTGTCTGACGATTCACTCCCCTCCCCAAGTGAGCACAATGGCCGAAGCCAGGAGCCTCTTCCGGGTCTCCCACACAGGTGCAGGGTCCGAAAGCTTTGGGCCGTCCTCGACAGCTTTCTCGGGCCACAGGCAGGGAGCTGGATGGAAAGCGGGGCCACCGGGATTAGAACGGGTGCACATATGGAATCCCGGGTGTGCAAGCCAATGACCTTAACCACTGCACCACCACAACGGGCCCGCAAGATTCTTTAATATGTAAAATTGATGTTATTTCAAAGCAATAAAGGATAAACTAGTCTGGCAATGCTGTTACATAAATGCTTGGATTTTAAAAGCAGTTTTGTCACTGATACTGTCTAAACCCAGAGGTTTTGAAGAATTGAACTTTTTTTTTTTTAACATATTGTTCACTCAATACTATACCAATTGATTCCATAACATTGTACATTGACGCTGATGTTTTGTTGGGGGTTTTAACTGACCGGAACTTTACTCTGTTAGCTCTACCTTCAGACCAGAGAAGGTCTCCCCAAGAGGCCACTAAACTTATCT